GTAGTAGCAGTAGTAGTAGTAGTAGTAGTAGTAGTAGTAGTAGTAGTAGTAGCAGTAGCAGTAGTAGTAGTAGTAGTAGTAGTAGTAGTAGTAGCAGTACATACATAGAAAGCAGAAACGTTTACAACATCAGCTAAAGTCTTACCAAGGGAAAAAGGCAGCAATTCCTCTCTCTTTTGGAATTTCCCTTTATCGTCCAGAAATCGCTCAGGTCTAAAATTTTGAGGATCCCCCCACGTCGCCCGATCGTGCAGCACTGAGTTTAGAACGGGGATAACAGTGACACCTTCAGGGAACGTGTAGCCCATGAACTGTACATCGCTGGTGACGGTGTACGGCACCGCTGTGGGGACCATATCTGCGTTTCGCAATACTTCTGAATACGTAGCCTCAACGTAAGGAAGTTTGCTTTTGTCCAACATCGTTGGTCTTCTCTCCAGTCCAATCTGTTCTTTGATCTCCTGGAAACACTTCTCTTGGACTTCCGGGTAGTGGAGTAGATGTAGAAGTGACCATTTGATGCTGTTGGCGTTATCATACATTCCGGGGGTAAAGATGTCAGTCAGAACCATATTTACGTGACTTTCTAAACAGAAAGGACAATCCTTTTGCAGACAGAAAACCTTTGTAAATTGTTAGGCAATGGATTTCGTGACTTTCCTTTGTTCAGTTAACGCTTGGTCTAAAGGTAACTCAGGAGATTTTATCTGTTTAAAGAAAAGGATTTATATTTAAATGTCCAATCCTACTACACCGTAAGCATCAAGGACAGGTATTATTAAAGCCTTCTTCACAGCATACAGTACAACTACATCAGCAAACAGAGACACCCGCTCATTACATAAAATTAATTCTCTTTACCGTCAAACGTCTCGCCTCCCTGCTTGCTGCGTCGTACCTCTTTGATGAAAGCTGTGGCGAAATCTTCAACGTTGTCCTCGTCATAGTTGTTCACGCGGTCCTCAACGAGTCGAGCTACCTCATCACCCAGTACCTTGATGTCTTTCACAAGACGTTTATAGTTAAAGAAATCTCCCGGAAGGTATCTCACGGCTGGAAACACATCGAGAATGTTTGAAGTTCCAATGATGCTAAACATGTCTTCCACTGCGTATAACAGCTTTACGAATCGTGGGTCATTGTATTCATAATGCTTTCCGAAGCAAAGATCAGCGACGATATTGGACGTAGCATTGTGGATCGGTCGTTTACAATCAAATTCCTCCGAACCCTCTTCCTCGAATGCTTCCAAAAGTGTATTCAACTCTTCCTGTATCTTCTCTTCAAGGATTGACCTTCCGAAACCAAACTCTCTGAGAGTGGTGACAGCGAACCTTCTCATGTCCTTCCATGTATCGCCGTTGGTGCTTAATATTCCTAAAACATAAAACACAATGTTATATGTTCTTTGTTGACATCACCATCGAATAAGGAATGTGTGTGGAACTTCTGTACATGTGTTTGAGAATTTTGGTATTAACATCAAGAGCGCAGTAACTACACACTCTGGCCCCCGTGTGTAGAGAGACCGGATACATGTAATCATATCGCAAAAAGATGTTATCGCATACCAAGTCGGTAGATCAAGGCTCGTGATGTCAACCGACGAATTGTCTGAATCGACTCCATTATTTACAGACCATCGTTATATAGCCGGAATATTGGTGGGTGTGGTTCATACAAATGAAACAAAGAAATCACTAGCTCAGATCGATGCTGAGTATAAACATCAAGAGCACACACGCACACACAGAGAGAGATAGAATACGGGCGACTTTCCGAGCAGTGAACTAACTTGTCTATGAAACCAACATTCCCAGAGTATCGCCACACCAACTTGGTCACTTATCATTTAGAGATTAACGTTGTTTGTTCACCCTTGACGTCATACATACTTAACCCGATTTCGCTTGCTCGCATATCAAATCTGGTGTCAAGTTATTATATGTTAACCAGATTCCTAAACTTTCTGCCTTGAAATCCTTCATTTACTTCGGGTATGCTAGCATTTGAGAACTACAATATTATCCTAGTTATTCCCGACGTGGCATTTCTAAACTTGTGCCAAAGGTAGCGTAAAACTACAACCATTAACTACTCCTTAATGCAAAATAGACAGTTACCTACCTTTGCCCCCACTGAAAAAATCCGTGAGAAAGGAATGAGGCCTGTCTGAAAAAACGTCGGCGTTCTTGACCAGGGCCTCCTTGATAACATCGTAGCCGTTGAGGACAATGACCGGCTTGTGGAAGATGTACACGCCGAAGATGTCGCCGTACTGACGTCGCAGATTGCTAAAAGTAACTCGGGGATCGTCGCCCATTTGAAAAATGTTGCCCACCAGTGGTAGAAGTGGAGGTCCGGGTGGGAATCCAGCAGGACGCCGTGTTGACAGCCACAGTATTAGTAATACAGTAACAAACACCAGTATCAGAGATGTATTAAACATCAACATCCCCACCAGCAGTGCGATAGAAGCCATAATAGCAGCAGTGCTTGAATTTAACATGGTTGCCATGTCGATGTCTTCTCGCCAAATGCAGGACGGGTCATATCGCTTGTACCAGACTCGGCATAATGCGCAGTAGTCTGTCTCACAGTCCCTGAACCATATTATTTTCCCCAATGCTTAGCCCTCCCTGCAATGCTAAAGTCCTAAATGAAGCAAGTCTAGATTGACTCAGGTTCACTGGTCTCACTTGGGCTCCTTTTCGATTTAAATGGGTTTATTTGCTACTGTCACAATTCACAATTCAGGGATTAAACGTTAGTCTAAATGCGCAGCATGACGCCCACACGGGACCGTTTGATCAAGCTAGGGTCACAACGACACAGGACTATGTATAGTATCAAACTCATGTAAACTCGTGACCTTCCTATATTATTTAACCTCGCTTTCTTCATAGGAAGGACACACGTTTCGTATGTATGTAATGAGACCTCGTGTAGTATTCTCTATTTATTTTATTATAGGGTATTTATATGCGCACATATCCACGCACTAGTGCATGCTCAAGGCGCTGGTTTTTATTTCCTCGATCATTGGATGTCAATCTCAACGGCACATTGCATTATTAATCTCAACTCCCTGGGGAGTATACAACTCTTGCAGCCACTAGGCGCACCGAGGTTTTGTGGCTTTCTCATCCTCACGAGGAATATAGCATATTCGTTCGCTAAATTTGTTATATTTGTTGGTTTTATCAAGATGTGTTTCGACCTGTGATCCAACTTCCTGTGCACAAATCTCCCAACAAAATCCCAGATATCCTTACACATAGTGGTGTTTACGCTTACCATATATATGACACATGTGCTGTAATGTTATCTTAATGGATTCGCATGGGTCCAAGCAAAACCATGTTTATATACACAGCGAATATGTAGAGTCATTCGTGATTGAATTAAAACTTATTTCATCACAGCATATGTCCGATTAATGTATTATGCTGCAATACATCCAACAGTAAAAGCTCTGATCTTCGTTTGTTAGATATTTAAAGGAGATGTTTCTTTCATTGGGGCTAATAGAAGCGACAAAACCCTTTCCACATCCATAAAAATATTTGCTAGTGGCATTTACCTTCCGTGATTAAAATTGAACTCAAAATGTGTAAAATCGCAATAAACGCGTAAAAACGCACTCGCACTTCCGCCTATTAAGGAAACACTCAACAGTTAACGATCAGTAGCGGCAGGGATAATCTACAACCTTATGACATACAAGCACTCTCACTTATTACCCGAGTCCCTTGTCTTAAAGCAATCACTATTGCAATCTCATTGAAAGCATTCTAGTCTCATTGATCAATGACATCTTACACAACTGAGAATACCAATGATTCTGCTTTCACACCAGAAATGATCCTACAAATTAAACGCCAATGCTTTAAAAGATATTTTACTTGCATTTAGGTTAGGTTATATCTATTGTGGTGGTGTGTGGCCTTTGTGCCTCAGTCCAGGTCGAATCTGAGGTTAAGCAAGGTTGGTGTTGGAGAGTCCTTGAATCAGTTTGTTCAAAATTGTATTTGTTCACCCAGCAGAAAATGGGTACCCGGTGGGATAAGTTATATGACTATTACCCTTCTTGTGCCTAACAAGCAGCTTGAGCTATCCGGGGTAATAATGTCCATTACGTTGTAATGCCCATGGTGAGTTGAGTTCATCGCTATATAAGATGCCTTGTTATTATTGACGCCTCTTAATACACAATTCTTAATATAGTCGTAATTCTGTGAGCTTTTAGCCTACTATCCAGCATGAAGAATCGCCTTTCAAATGGCCTATTGTTGTTACAAAGATTATTCTGGTCTACATTTGAAACATATATTGTCACATTACTACTTTTCAATATGTTGCAGTCAAATGCGTTTGTTTTGTACATTGTTTCCGCTTCATTGCATGTTTGCATTCTGGTCCTCTCACCTTTCATTCGTCCCTGTGATATCTAACGTCATGCCTATTTTAACATACTCATTTTGTCATCATGCTATGGCTATGCATGAAGTAACCATAATTTTAACCTGATGACTTAAAGGTTATGGGGCAGTGGGGTATGGTAGCCTAGTGGTTAAGGCGTTCGCGCGTCACGTCGAAGACCCGGGTTCGATTCCCCACTTGGGTACAATGTGTGAAGACCATTTCTGGTGTCCACGGTGTGATATTGCTTGAATAATGCTAAAATATCACTCGCTCACTCATTATTCGTTACCGACATTTAAATAACAAAGCAGTTACCTTAACCATTATTATCATCATCAGTAGTGTTGTCATGTATTAACCGGTTTCAAAGACTCATGATGAAAACAATTATAATAATCTGAGGAAATTTCAGCTGCAAAAAGCAAATCACAGTTACCGAACAGCAAACTCGCTCAAGTTTTGCAGAAGCAGCATATTTAACGCCCAGTGCAACTTCTAGCGGTACGACATTTTTAAATTCTAAAATATGGAGGGGCAAAACAGATTTCGATATTTACACAATGAGCAAAGATCCGCGTAGGTTGTTGCGGTGTGGCAAAACACTGTCAACTAAATCACCGATCCTGACTTCCCGATTCAGTTGGTCTTATGACAAACACTGGGTGTTTTGAGCTAATGTGTTTTTCCCGAATTCCAATGTGTACAATGAACCAGAGCCACTTGTGTATGGCATACTGTAAAATATGGAGTGGAGTCTTGGAGTGGAGTCTGGAGTATGAAGTATCAGCGCACTTGTCACTTCTGTAAACACTGATTACTGTCTAGAATATGCCATTAATGGTTCTTCCCAGTTGTCGTTTATACCTCCGGAATCACCGGTTTCAAAAGTAAATATGTTATCTTACTCATCTTAGAGATTAGTCTTTCTATTTTACAGCTCTCGTAGAAATGTTTGTTAAAGCTTGTAAGTTTACTCCAAACTTATTAATAAATCGTCACAAATTCGAACTCTGTGCAATTAAATTTTCATTTGTAGACAGCAACCTAATCGAGATTGTAAAAATGTTTACATGGCAATCCTCAGTAGCATTCCTTAAGCTCTCTGATATTCTGAGGGCAGATCGTATCAGTGATGTGTTTCCTCTAATCTGTCACATTCCAGTGGACTGCCCATTCATAACCTGACAGAAAGTCAAGATTTTCGAAGCCACAGAGAGCTGATGAAACTCACTAACAATCAGCTCGCAAAATATTCTGCTGCATTTATTTTTGCTTCAAGGATGTAGAGAGATGGCTATATCTGAACAAAAAGCAAAACAATTATGACTTAGGAACAGTTACTTTTGCCATCACTGACAATAAATCCAGTTCATGAATAATATAGTGCTATGTATCTTATGTAATCAAGTTCTTTGTTAAGTAAGAAATAAATAATTCATGCAGTAATAACTGTTATATTCCCTGATGATTATACAGTCAAATCCCGATGAGTCGAATGCCGGTGTCTCGAATATTATGCATAACTCGAAGTACCTGTCGTTCCCGACCATTCCCTGTTATAATTGTCATCATTTGAATACCGGTTACACGAATTCGTCTCATAAATACACACGATGACTCATAGACATACCTATGTCTCGAATACATCGATAAGTCGAATTTATTACTTGGTCCCCAGCGATTCGACTCATCGGGATTTGACTGCATGTCTTAGCATAGACCTAATTTATGTACCTTTTCCCATACTACCGCTTCCTCTACACAAATTTGAATTACATGTGACAATGTTATATATGTCGTTTTTTTGCTAATAAATAATGCCATTATTAATATTTTGCTTACAGGTTGTAAATAATTTACATGCTTCTCCATCCATCCATTCATCCATCCTTCCATCTATTTATATACATTTTTCTTCTTGATGGCAGCGTGGTACTGTCACAGAATGACATTTCTGGAGTTGACAGGGCTAATTGATACGTGTATACAAAATGCCTCCTGTCTTCTGATAAAACTGGTAACACCAACCAGCTACAGATGTGAAATGAATGTGCTTGTATAGCTACCCTTATGATCAAAACAAAACAAACTCGGACACCTAAATATTTACATTAAGACTCCATTCCGAGACTCCACTCCAAGACTCTACTCCAAGACTCCACTCCATGTTTTACTGTATGCCTTGTGTATCTAGGTCAGTCCAGTCCCGGGCAACTCAAAACTAAGCCGTTCACTGTGAATACATTTCGACCTAGATTCATCGGTTAGACACCGGTGGTGAATTTAACTAGATACAGCCTCTGTTCGGAAAGAAAGTAATAAAATATTTGTTAAATCGGGCTGTGTTACATTTCTCACCAGAGTTCTAACTGTTCTGTTTGTTGTGCTGTGTTTAATCATTATGCATGAAGACAGCCCAAATGAGTGAGTGACTTTGGTTTTACGCCGCTTTTAGAAATATTCCAGCAATATCAAGGCTGGGCATTGTAACCATGTTTTCGCCATGCGTGTTCATTCACTATCATGTGCAAGAAATCTTGGATATTATGAACACCCCTGAAAATAGACATCACCCAAACTCTTACCCTAACAAAATCCATCAAACAATTTACCCCATCCAATCACTCTCAGCTATCACTCAGCCATTCCAACACTCTATACACAACCATCCACCAAACCATCCAATCACTCCTTGCCAGCCCACACCTATACACAACCATCCACCAAACCATCCAATCACTCACCAACCCACACCTATACACAACCATCCACCAAACCAACAATCACTCACCCAACCCACACCTATACACAACCATCCACCAAACCATCCAATCACTCACCAACCCACACCTATACACAACCATCCACCAAACCATCCAATCACTCAAGCCCACACCTATACACAACCATCCACCAAACCATCCAATCACTCACCCCACACCTATACACAACCATCCACCAAACCATCCAATCACTCACCAGCCCACACCTATACACAACCATCCACCAAACCATCCAATCACTCACCAGCCCACACCTATACACAACCATCCACCAAACCATCCAATCACTCTC